GTTGCAGATTGCATTGTTCCTTAATCTTCGAATTGGATCCGGCTTATTATTTTTTGCAGACTGTAAGAGCAATTTTATAAAAGTAAACTTGAACTTTCGATTATGTCAAATAGAATTTCCGATGCTGGAGCTCCCAAAGGATCTACAAAACGAAAGTATGTTTTGATGTCCATCAAACAAAAAGTGGAATTGCTGAAAAAATGGATAAAGGCATATCCTTTGTTTCTCTAACTATTCCGAAATCTGTTTATCAATTTCACGCTGCTCTGCGGGGGAGGGGAACGTCGCAGTGCACAATGAACTGGAAGTTGATCTGTCAGCACTATCCTTATCTTCAGGGCAGATGTTTTTATTTTATTTGGCTTATAGTTCATTACTAAATGTAGTATTTCATCTCGATGTACTCTGTCTTTGATATAATTTAAATCAGATTCATTATAAATATCATTAATACACATCAAATAGGTTTCTGGTTGCAATTTTCTAATTTCGACTATGCGTAATGTATGCTTTACGCATGCGTGTGTTGAAAGAAATGTTTAATAAAGTAAACAAAGAAATATTAAGCTTTATTTTTGTAAATTTTGATATCCTTTAGATCATAATTGCTCTTTATTTCATAAATCGCGACTTCATATTTTTAATTTTATAATTTCAGCATGCCATCTTACCAGATTTAAACTGATGATCTATAATCCGGAAAAACCGATAATCCGGAATCGCCGAAGTCCCGACGAGTCCGGATTAAAGACTTTTGACTGTATTAGAGAAAGCCCGATTTTTATGTCAAAATACCTATGTTAAAACAATGCTATATATAAATCTAATATATATTTTAAGTCGCATTTAATGCCATCACAGTGATATACAAGAATCACTGTAACTTTCATACTGCAGGAATTCTAATGCACTTTTGATTTTCATGGTTGCTGGTAATGATATCATGTTTTTGACTGGCATTTCAATGTTGACTCATGATCTAACTCATCCAGTCCAATGATACAGCATAAGAAGACGCAATGAATTGGAAGTTGATCTGTCAGCACTATCCTCATCTTCAGGGCAGATGTTTTTATTTTATTTCGCTTAAAATTCCTTACTAAATGTAGTATTTCATCTCGATGTACTCCGTCTTTGATATGATTTAAATCAAATTCCTCGTTATTATAATTCGCTTCCGATAGCGAAGAACACAGAGGTTATTGAAAACGAAAAAATTTCGATTGACAAATTAGTCGGCATTCTCGACGCAGCAATTATAGGACTTGAACAGCGGAACTTTGTAACTGAACAAGAAATTATGTCTGTTTATAGAATTAAAGAGAAAGTATTATCACATAAAACGAAGCAACTTAAACAACTTACATTGAAAGGAATGTTTAATAAAGTAAACAAATAAATATTAAGCTTTTTTTTTTTTTTAATTTTTTATACCCTTTAGATCATAATTGTTCTTTATTTCATAAATTACGGTTTCATTTTTTTAATTTTATAAATTCTGCATGCCATCTTACCAGATTTAAACTGATGATCTATAATCCGGAATCGCCGAAGTCCCGACGAGTCCGGATTAACGACTTTTGACTGTATTTAAATATGCGCCAAATTGAATTACCATTAATGAACTAATTTTGTAAAACTGCTTGTGCGATTTCTGCTAAATTCTACACTTTGGCATAATTTGAGCCATGGAATCGAAATATGGAGAAAAATCAGTTTCAGAAAAAGACCGATTTTGTGACAGAATACCAATGCTAGAACAATGCTGTATACAAATCTAAGGGATATCCTAATTTGCTCTTTGAGACATGAAAAACACAAGTTAAATTTCGCTAATCTGCCCAGCAGAACATGAGGTGCATACCTGTGTCCTTTTTTCGTGTGTGAGGTGTGCATAAAAACATTGAATATAAGCCAGTGAACTAATTAACTACATTTTCAAGAAAGTAACTCTTAAAGATGTAGCTGAGTAATGCTCATACAAAAGCTGCTGTTATTTCAGCTGTATTTTAACAAAGTAACAGTACTAAGAAACACTTTTTGTCTCTATTCAATTTTTATTTTATGTGCTTTGAAATTATTTAGTGTTATATGTTCTTCGAATTTATCTCAATCCATTCTAATAACTTTCATAATACTTAGTAAAGGACATCTGCATAGTTCTATAATTTATATACTTTTTACATAGTTTTATTTAATCTAGTTTTCTGTGCTAAGTATTGAAATTAACTCTCTGAGTGGCATGTCCGGCTTTATCTGACCATGAGATTTTTTGTCACTTGATACATATTAGCTAATAACTTAAGATATTTTGCTTTCTTACTTTCTTTAATAATATAAATGTAATTTTAATGAATGTAAGTTTATGAAAATAGAGGCTAAAATAAGTAATTATATAAATTTAGCTAATAAATACTGTGTAATTAGAGGTCTTCATGACAAATCCCAAAACCCATGCCGCTCAGAGGGTTAATTAGGAACTCCCTTGTCCTGAGCTGATTCTCTGGAAATTTTTCACACATACATAAGTGTAATAATAGTATAGTATTTTACAGAATTTTTTTTTTTTTTTTAGAATTTATTATAGGTATTTATTCTTAAGTATTGAATTTTTCTCACTGATCCTCGTTTAACAGTCAGATTGTTCATCATGGAATTTCAGTCATTGTATCACTAATTAACTGATGTATTATCTTCCAAGTGAAAGTTTTTCAGAAATTTGTAATGTAGTTTTGGCTACCTTCCCCAACACACACAAAAAAAGGGGGAGACTTTTTTTTTTTCTTTAACTATTGTGGAGTTCGTAATAATTATGATAGTTTTTTTCTTCTTAGTGCATTTAATTAAAAACATTTTGTTTATTTTATCTTATGCTTTATCAGCATTATTTCTTAACAAGCACATTTTAACCAAATTTTGATTCCTGTTTCTACAATTATTTCTAATATATCTTTTTTGGTGATATGATAATCCCATACTATATTGGTCTATGTGTTGATAGTCAAAATGTAGCTCAAATAAATTACAAATATAAGTAGCATAGTTTGCACCATATTTGTTATTGTTCATTTCCTACTTGTTCTGCTTTTTCCTATCATAAAGCACAGTAGGTACGCACATTCGCATTCATATGTATTAACTTTTAAGCTTGATCCTATTATTCAATTTACAATTCTTAATTAAAGCTTCTTTTTTTAGCAGACAGCTAATGGTCTTCCTGAGCTATACCTTCTCATGGAAAGGAGATTAAAATTAAATTGAGGCTTTCAAAGTTTTATGGGCTTTGCAAAAAATCATGAAAAAGAATTAAAAAAACTTTTTATAATGCAGTTTTTTATCTCATTAAGACCTTAGTATTGATTAATAGTTTTATCAAATTTAATTAGTAGTTAAATCATGCTTCTTTGTGTAGTTATGATGCTGCATTTTCAACTAAAATTATTCAAATCTTGCTAAAAGTTACACCAACATGAGTATATAAAGTATTGTTAGCTTCATTATTTTTTTACTATTCAAGACTCTCTAGATAAAGGATTACTGTATAAAATATACTACTTGTTTTACTGTTTTGTTGTAGTAGAACCTGTGTAAGAGTCCTGTAATCCAGAAACTTTCGAAGTGATTTGAACAGGAATTTGATTTTTAATAAATATATGCATTCAGTGTATATTGGGCTGCTAGATAACTACTAATTACTCATTGTTCTTTGAAATTCAATCTTTAAACATTATATATGGTCAAGAGTAGGATGACAATACTTTGAAATTTTTTAAATAAAAATAGATAGCTTCTTTTTGTATTTGGTAGCACCTATACTCTAATTGTTAATTATCATTCTTCTTTACACCGACTAGTCCATACTGAAGTATGTTCAGAAATGATGATATTTTCAAATTTATTGCATGGGTGTTTTTGTGGTTTTCCCCATGTGTAATGTGTATATGAGCCAATTCCCCTTAGAACGTCCTCCATGAAGGCATCCCTCCCCTTAGGCAGATAGCCCTCGAGGCTTTGCTGTAATTAAATAACCTAACCTAACCTAAATTTTCAAATTTATCTCTCTAGATAGTATTTATTACTAAATGTGATGAAATCTTGAATTCTTTAAAGTGTCTCTTTTGTTAGCTTCTAGATAATTCTTCAGTTTTGATTTTGGAATAAAAGCAGTAAATTTTTCCTTATACTTTGTAAGTAAAGCGACTGTATTCTACTTCAGATTATATATTAGCTATTTACATATTAAATGATTTCACTTATTAAATTTCTTTTTCTTAAACTTATCTCAAAGATTAAATTTACAATTGACAGAAAGAAATTTACAGTTGAGAAGTACTGTTGGAAAATTGTTTCAAGGTTAGAATGTCATTTACAAAATTTTCTACTGACTTTAATGTACCATATTGTATACACAGTATCTTTTGAATTTAAAAAATGAAAGAGTAATAAATGGAGGCTATTTCCTTGATTAATTTTGTTTAAGCTCTTGCTAAACTATTTGCATTTTCAATATGCTTGAGAAGAGTTATTTTTTATAGCATCTGCGTATAAAAATTACTTCAATAGATTGCTCACTGTATTACCTCCTTGTTTTTAAAAATCTTCCAAAATGAATTTGATGTACGTAAATGTTTTTTGAAGGATACTTGAGATATTGCTGTTATTGATTTAATCTTCTTTCTCTGTCTTTTTTTTTTTTTTTTGGGGGGGGGGGGGGGGCACGCTCGCGCGCCCTGTGTAAGAGGAGAGGGGTCAATCAAATAAAAAAAGAATTACTAAAATAAAGTTGATGGTTTTATGAAAAAATTATATTGCAACAAAGCTATATTCTATTAATGATATCTCTTAATTACATGTTAAGTTTTCATACATTAAAAGAATGTAAAACTCTTAAAAATATGAGAATTCATTAAAAAGAATTCTGTGTAATTTTTTGGGGTGGAAAGGGTAAGAGTATTTTCTATCTCAGTGTAAATATTAATTTACAATTTATTTTATTCTAGAACTCACAATTCATTCAGCAGTATGCAGTGACTCCTATACAGAATGTCCTTAATGTTCGCCTTGCTCAAGGACGTTGTGAGCTCATAGAAAAAATTGTCAAAAAATATCCACCTTGGAATTTTAAGTATGTTGAAACTTTTAAGATGTTAAGTAGAAAAAAAATCAGAAAATTTTGTTGTAGTTTCCCACATCAGAAAAGAAAAAAAAAATTTTTTTTTTTTTTTTTGCTTATATTTAAAATCCTGTCCTGGCAAAAATAAAATCTATGGATTCAGGCCTGCCATGAAAGCTGACAAACAAGAAAAATAAAATTAAAAAAAATATATTGAAGCAGACCATGACAGGTGTTGCCATAGTATGAAGCATTATCTTTTAATTTATCTTCCATGTACCTTCATTCATAGTGGATTCTCAAGTGTTGTTATTTGCCAAAACATATTTTTTTTTTTTAAATTTAATCAGTCTGTTATTGAAAAATAAACAGCAGTTTAAAAGAAATGCACGAAAAGAAAAGGGTCTTTAATTTCACAATTCTGAGTATAATGCAAAAAATATGTTTTCTACTTTTTTAATAATGTATTTTATTGAAGTAAATAAATTTAATTTTTAATGCAGCCAAATGATGGTTTTTATGAATATTTGTTTAATTGGCGAAAAAGAGGTTTTTAATGCTATGTATTACTTAATTGTAACCTATTTTTCTCCTTTTATGGTGTTTTACCCTTTTTAATCTCTTTAACATTTTTTGTTTGTTTGTTTATATTAGTATGTATAGATATTGGACTATAATCTGAAGTTTCCATGCTACAGTCTTCTTATTTGATCATGTTTCAAAGGACTGTGACCTAAAGTTTTCATATTACAAGCTTCTTATTTTATCTTATTTTAAAGTTTTTATTATTGCTCAACCTTCGTATATTTAGAAAATTCATACAAATCTGCAAGCAATTGCTTTTGTAAGGGTAAATTGGAAACCTTTAGTTTGCATATTTTGACAAAAGAAAGATTATACTGATTTTACCGTAATTTCCGGAAGAAAGGCCGCATCAGCGTAAACGCCGCACTCGAGAAAAATGGCGGGAAAAAAATTTAAGTTACACAGAAAAAATTTAAGTTACACGCAATAGATTAAATTGCGCATGACATCGTCGTGGGCCGTATAGATGCAAAAACTCAACCTAAGTACTCATATATGACATACCAGTTAAGAAAAATGCATGAAATGAAACCATAACTCAAAAATAAATTAAAGGTAAGAAATGTGGAAAATATATTTATCTTCACGTATATACTTATATTTACCCACTAAAGAAGTCCATATTTGTAATACTCAGACTATATTATAAAAAATGTTGCAACAACAAAATATTAAATTTGGATGACAAAAGGAAATTTTAAATTTTACTTACGAATTACAGCAAACTATACATCATATGAAGCCATCAAAAATCTGATTCTTTACTATCTGAATTAAAAAGATTTAGTAAATCCTGATCTAAGTCTTCCAGATCGTCACATTCATCCTCTTGGTTTACAGTCTCTTTATCTAAGGATATAATTTCAGCTTCTTTGAACCCTGCTATTATTGACAATGTTTCTACTGATTTCCACGCACTTCCTGCCCACTTTGCAATTTCTTCATAAGATGCTCTACGCATTTTACCGCTTTTGGTTTACGTGTGCAATCCTTCACTTATCCAACACTCCCACCGCTTTCAGACTTCAGCTTTGAAGGATTTATTACCTGACAAATATAACGGTTGTAAGATTTTTGCCAAACTACCAGGAATTATTTCTTTGGTCGTAGACAATTTTTGACATCTGGTTTTCACTGACTCAAAGAAATGAGCACGCATGGAATCCATTATCAATAACCCCTTTGGTTGGAAAAAAAAGATCCCTTACGAACACTGCCAAACTTTTTGTAGCCACTCGTGCATGATTTTTCGCACATCTAGCCATTCTCGTTTGCACAAATAATTACGTCATTAGGAAAATCTCCCTTCAGAATAGTCTTTCGTTTAAAAATGATCATCGGCTTTAGCTTGCCACCGTTTGCGGCACAAGCTAACACACATGTAAATGACATTCTTTCATGCCCCGTCATAAACACAGATATGTGTTTCATGCCCCGTCATAAACAGTTTTTGCACCAGTTTCATCAACAGTTCTGTTAACAGGAGAGTCGAAAGCTAACGGCGTTTCATCCATATTTATTATCTGCGACCGAAGAAGTTTTTTTTTTTTTGTGTCAATAATATCTGTCACATATTTTAGAAAAGATGCCTTTTATCCTGCCTGCCAGTTCCATTGGTAATTGTTGCCCGACTGTTGTTCTAGTACACAGAGAAATATTTTTTCTTTTCATAAATCTGCTACACACAGCAAGGTCCTCCTTTGAAATCATTTATGTTCATTTGTTTTGCTATAAATTTTGTTTGTAAGCGAATTTTTACAGTCGAAATTGCCATTCGCTTTCCTCGTTGCTCCTTTATCCAGTTTGCAAGGTCGTCCTCTAGATTTGGCCACCTTACAGTACCACTTCTTTTGGCTCGTTTCTGTTGTGGCATATTTTTAAGAAGTTCTTTTTCAGTTCTCCAACGTCAAATACATCTGTCGTCCACTTCAAACTTTTGAGCTGCTGCTCAATTTCCAGTTTGTTCAGCACGTGAAGTTACATTAAGTTACATTAAACCAGCACGTGAAGTTACATTAAAACCAGCAGTATAGCTTCTGTGCCGTTTAGGGACATTTTCAAAAATTTTCCGCTCCCTTCTTACATAAAAACTATCCAACAAGTACTTCTACCCAAACTGATGGGATCTGTATCTGGCAGAATGCCAAGAAAAATCCATTCATGCTGAAGGGGAAATACGTCAGAGTTCATTATTGCAAGGCAGGTGGAGTCGTGTCCGCCTTTGAAAAAAATTGCAGAAAAGGCAGGGGGGGGGGAGGATGGGTCCTGGAAGATTCATCGAATGGCAGAGGAGAGAGACTATTCAAACTGATGAGAATGTTGATTTGAAAGGGGGAAGAATATTATTGTTCTGAGATCTCATTTAGGGTGAATAAAGCATGTAGGTTCGTTCAAGGGAAAGAATGTAAACAAAATAACGTTTGCAAAAAGCAACTGAATGGTCTTTTGTGTGGGAACAGCACCAGTCTATGCACAATGAGAAGGCCATCTAAACTATGTACAATGACTATCATAGGAAATATTTTATTTTTAGTGCACCTAAATGCCGCACACGCTGAAAATTTAAGTTTTAAACACGTAAACGCTGCGTCGTTTCTTCCGGAAATTACGGTAATTTTTGTGATCCTAACTGAATGCAAGTCTGTTATCTGCAGCAGGGTTTGTATGGTCCTTTAGAGTCCTTAGGATTTTTCGAAATGATTTTAGATCCTTAAAAGTCCTTAATTTTGTTGAAATCTAAGTCCTTGATTTTAATCATCTGAAATTTCTGTGTGTTTTCTATTACTGCCATTTTGTGTGTGAATTAGCATTTGGAAGAATAATTTGTGATGATTCACTGACAAATATATATCTGATGGGTTATCAGCCCCACTTTTGTTTTCTAACGTATTGGGTGTTTTATAGTTTTCTGTATCTGCCTGTGAATCTGTATTTCTGTAATTGCCTTGCCACCCATCTGCACCACATAAGCATTCAAGTGATCCTATTTGCCCATTTTTTGATTCTGGAGGAGAATTAGGCAGTGAACACCTGCTTCGATGTCAAGCTCTTCGTGGTCTTACTGAGGAGTTGAGATACATTGAGGCAAGAGCACTCCTTAGGTCATTTTGTTCTTAGTTCTATTGTTTGTAACCTCTGTTTATAAGATTTTAGTTCTTTGTAACTTTTTGCCTAGCCATTGGCAATTTTGCTTTCCTGTGAAGTTAAAACTGAATTAATTGAATGAGAAATATATCTCTAATGAAATTTGAGGGAATAGATTTAAATGAAATGCAACAAAAATGTATATAATTTAATAGGCCGTATATGGAAGTCATGTGGTGTCCACATAATTTTTTATATATATATATATATATATATATATATATATATAAAAGATTAAATAAGCATGTTCTTTTTAAAGGCTTGAGATACTTTTAATTGCAATGTATATTTGAATTCATGGGTGTTTCTTGTATGTTTCTTTACATATTATAAGAAAATTAATGTTTTTCCAAACGTTGAGTAATGCATTAAATTTATTTTGTTTTAAACTTTAAATCCATGTTGTAGATATGAAATTTTTATAAATAAATGTTAAATTTACTCATGAATGTTTTTTACTAAAACACTTTTTCCTTCATCTAGTTCTCTTTTTTACAGCATTCATTTTATATATTTGCAGTATTTTGCCGCTTTCAAGAGTGATGCCATTTTTGTTAGATGCTCTGCATCACCCATCATCTTCAGTTAGATCAATAGCTGAAAGAATTATTTTGTATCTGTATGACCACGAAGTCATAAAAGTGAAGAAATATTTTTCATTTGATTCTGATACTCTCAAGAAAAATATAATGTACAGAAGATTACAGCAAGCCTTTGATAAAAAAGTGAGTTTATTTTAGAGTTTAAAATATGTGCATTATAAATAGAGACTAATATTGCCTCTCAATTATCTATTCTGAGACTTGAATAGATACTTGAGAGACATTTTGAAGATATGATTTAGATTTCATTGCTGAACATTTATTACTGCTCATAGATACTGTCATTTGATTAATAATTGTATATCTGAAGAGGAGAGACAGAATTGTGATGTGTTTATCATAGGCTTTTCTTAACCATGTCATGTATTTTTAACTATAGAGCTGTCTTTTTGGAAGTCTGAATAGCAGGGCAAAAATTAATTATTTCTACTTATTATTATGGCAATAATTCTTATATTAACTGCATACCAACTCATTAACTATTATTGATGAAAAAAACCAATTTATTTGTTCAGGTTGGAGGTACTGTAACCATCTACTTTTTTCTCTTTCATACCATTTTTTTCAAATCTATTCAAACAAGTGGCAGTAACCAATAGTTATTAATAAAGAAAACTTTCTTTCTCTCTCTCTGTATATATGAGGCGAACACACAAAAAAAAAAAAAAAAAAAAAAAAAAAAAAAAAAAAAAGACTGGTTCAATAAATCATTGTACTTTCAGTTCTCCGTGACGTTATCACCTTCAAAATAGTCCCCTTCAGCATTCATACCCTTCTGCATTCGGTGCTGCCATTGCTGGTAACAGTTCTGGAACGAGGTTTTTGGAAGGCCCTTCAGGAGATTCTCTGTTTTTGCCTGAACCTCTTCAACTGAGGTAAAATGGGTTCCCTTTAAGTAAGATTTAACTTTTGGAAATAAAAAAAAAAGTTGCATGGAGCCAAATCAGGTGAATAAGGAGGCCTCATCAGAGTAATGTTTTTGCTGGTCAGAAACTGCTTGACAGATAGGGCCATGTGAGCACGTGCATTGTCCTAATTTTTTCACGAAGTCTTTTTAGTACTGTGATTATTAACAGTCTGACCACTGGAAACTCATTCAATCATTACAATTCCAAGCAGTTGTTTCCAACTGCACTCTTTTTTCAAGCTAGGCACTTAGTCTCATGTTTTTGTGTCACGCCTCACATATATACACAGAGAAAGTTTATAAATATACAATATTATATATACACATAATATAGTTTTATATACACATAACATACTGTTTTATATGTTGACTCATTAAACATAGATAAATTACTGTTTATTTATAAGATTAAATTAGATTACTTATACATAAGTAAACATTGATGCTAGATGGTTGGTGGCAAGTGTGATCTTTAAAATTATGACTTACTTATTAAACTGATATTTTAGAGTTCTGAACAGTTAATTAAATTCCATAATTAGTCTATAAAGTATAATTTTTTGACATCAATAAGTTCTTCCTAATTGTCTCTGTATCGAAGAGGTTTTATTCTATTTCTATTTGATCATCTTAACATTGGTTCAGTTGACACATTTCCTGGAATTTGAGAATGTTTAATAGAATCACTTTCCTGTTCCTTGAGTGGATCCTGCTTATCATCATCTACAAGAACAGGCTGATTCAGTGTTGATTGACCAAGTCCAAACAAATCTTCTGCTGTTCTGTTCCACTCTGCCATTTCACACATAGACTTGTCTTTGCGAATGTGATGTTGGTTTCTCCTATACTTTCTCCTATACATATATGGAACACAGTTCCATCATTCACTTTTATGACATAAGATCTTGGTTGAGGACCTGTCTTCATGATCATACCCTGTTTCCAAGGCTCTTTAATTTTCCATTTGAACCACACTTTATCATTTTCATGAAGTTTTGGAAGCTGGGTTACGTGTTTATTGGCAGATTTCTTTTGCACTATTTGCCTTTTTTCTAAGGCTCTACTTGCACCTTTTATCTGAAATTTTGGTTGAAATGCTTTAGGATGTGATGGCAAAAAAGATCTCAGTCTTCTTCCCATTAATAATTCAGCCGGGGATGGGAAATTGTTTGCAGGTCGAATTCTATAACCTAGCAAAACAATATACAAGTCTTTTCCTTCTTCCGCAGCTTTGCTCAGAGACTTCTCGAGAGTTTGGACAGATCTTTCAATTTGCCTATTTGCTCTAGGAAAATGTGGTGATGTGATGTCACCCCATTCTTCAAGAAATTTCTGCAATGCTTTCGAGTTGTATAGTGGTCCACCATCAGTGATGAGCTTCTTTGGTATTCCATGTGTTGTAAAATAGACTTCATAACGGTCATTACAGCTTGAGCAGTTATACTTTTAAGTGGTTTCAGCTCTACATATTTTGAAAAGTAGTCTATCATTAACAGATATTGTTGTCCTTTCAGGTAAAAGAAATCACAGGCAACTTTTTCCCAGGGTCTCTCTGGTAGATCACAGTCTAAAAGAACTTTCTGATTAGCCTGTTGATATTTCTGACATATCGCACATTTAGAAGCATATTCTTCCACATCTTTGTTGATGTTAGTCCAGTAAAAATATTCTCTAGCTTTACTAGAAACTATACCTTTGTGAGACACTTGCAGTTTTTTCATAATTTCTTTCTAATCGTTGTCCTCGACAAATTATTCCATCCTTTGTTGTATAAAGCTCTTCTTTGCAATGCCAGTAAAGTTGTGCTGCTGGCCTTGTTTTGCTTCTTTCTGGCCATCCATTCTTGATATGAAATAACACATCTTGCAATTCAGGGTCCTTTTCTGTCATTTTTACGATTTCCTGCCACTTTGTTAGAGAGGCTTGTGCTAATAGACTTACATTAACAGTAGGTTCTTGACTGAAGGTGTCATCAAAAGTGTCAACAGTTGACTGTGCTCTGAACAGGGCATCAGCTATTAGCAATTCTTTTCCTGGAACATATTCCAATTTCAAATCATACCTGTTCAGTTTGAGGAGCATGATCTGAAGATGAGGTGAGATTGTATCATAAGGTTTCTTACTAAGGCCTAGTAATGGTTAATCGAAAAGTCACAGATTGATTATTTTGTAGGAGAACCGCTTCAATTCCATATTTACTGCCATCTACTGTATGGCAGTAATTGGCAGTAAATTTGCTTTCATCAAAATACTGTAAACATGGGGCTTGCACAATCATCTGCTTTAGGTGTTCATAGTCTCTTTGGATGTTTTCATCCCATAACCATTCGCTGTCTTTTCTCAAAAGTTGCCTTAACAAACGAGTTAGACTTGACAACTGAGGTGTGAATTTTGCTAAGTATGTAACCATTCCTAGAAATCACTGCAAGTCTTCTCAGCCTTTTGGTTCTGAAAACTTTTAAGTCGCTTGGATCTTCTTTGGATCAGGTGCAGTTGGACAGTACATGTCCTAAATAAGTCACAGAGGTCCGAGATAGCTGTGTCATCTCGATGTTAAATTTTAGATTAGCACTTCTGGCTATCGTAAGTGTCTTCCGCAACAGCTTGCAATGTTCTTCGACAGACGACGATCCTAGGGCTAAATCATCAAAATATGGATTTATCTCGTTCTCATTGCTAAAAATCTCCTCCATGGCCCTTTGAAATTCCTCAGGTTGCATTGTTCAGACCAAAAGGAAGAACCAAAAATGTGAATCTTCCCCAGGGCATTGTAAATGTTGTCAAGTATGATGACTCCTCAAAATGGTAAATATTTTACATCCTTGGAGTTCTGTCATAAGGGCTTCTGCTGTAGGAATTGGATAATGAGGTCTTTGAATAGCCTCATTAAGCTGCCTTGGATCTAGACAAACTCTCAATTTCTTTGGCGTATTTATCACAACCATGTTGCTCACCCATTCTGTAGGCTCATCAATTTTCGCTATGATGCCAGTTTCAACCATTCTGTTTAGCTCCTGCTTTTCTTTTCCATGCAAAGCAAGTGGCATTTTACATGATGCTGCAACATGAGGTGTGACATTTTCTTTTATTTTTATCTTTACTGTGCAGTTTAGTTTTCCCACGGTAAACACATCTGCAAATTCCTGTATCACTTGCTCTGGCGTCTCTTCATTTTGTTTCTTTTCCTGCTTGACTTGATACACTCTTTCCATCAGGCCCAAGCCTTGGCAAGCCTGAAGACACAAAATCGGAGATGATTCCAGAGTGGTTACCAGAAATTTGAGAGTTTTTGTCAATTTTTTAGTTTTACAAGGTAGCACTCACCTAGTATTGGTACTTGGTTGTCTCTATAATCCAGTACTGGTTGTTTATTTTTCTTAATTATTGGTTTCTCACTCCACTTTAACAATTTACTCTTGGGTATAATGTTAGCTTGAGCTCCAGTATCTAATTTGAAGTTCACTTCGTTCTTATTTAAAGTGATATTTTGGTACCAGACTGATGCTTTGATTAAATCCACCACGTCAACAGTTTTTACTTTCCCTAAGTAAATAAACTCCGAGTTGCTATCTTCCATACGTTCAACGGCATGCACTCTCTGTTTTGATTTGGCACGACACGTTTTCGCCCAGTGATTTTTCCCACCGCACTTTCGGCAGACCGTTCTGAACATGGTGCACTTCTTTGGCTCACGTTTTCTCCCACATTGCTTGCACACTTTTACTTGCATTATCTGTGCGGGATTTGATCGATGTTTGTTTTTTCTGAGGCCGTCTACGGAGATTTTGTTCTCACTCATTCAGTAGCTTGTGCTTTGCTATGTTCGGCCGCCTTGCATTCACTGATGATATTCTGTGGCATCTTTTTTGCTCTTTTTGTCTCTCGTATTAGCCGTTCTTGTAACGCTTTATCTGAGATGCCTTGCACTATTTTATCACGGAGCATTCTATCTCGCGCGCTTGCCCATAGTTGCAATCTAGTATTGCACATCGTAGCCTTGAGTAAAAGTCTGTGAATTTCTCTCCTTTCTCTTGCTTTATTTCCAGAAACTTGAATGGTGCATAAATCTCATTTTGATAAGCTGCGAAATATTTGTCGAATTCTTGTAGCACTTGTTTCAAGAACACTTCACTGCTGCCCAACTTCTGGCTTCAAATCAAACGATCGATATTGCTTTTTTAATTCGTCACCGCAAACACGTCGAAAAAGCGCAGTT